GCATATTATAATTAAATTGGCAAACAACAACGACAAAGTAAGAATCTTAAAAGCAGCCAGAGAGAGACAGAAAGTTACATACAAAGGAACCCCCATCAGACTAGCAACTGATTTCTCAACGGAAACTTATCAGGCCAGAAGGGAATGGGATGAAATATACAAAGTCATGCAAAGAAAGGGTCTGAATCCAAGAATACTGTACCCAGCAAGGCTATCAATCAAAATTGAAGGGGAAATCAGGAGCTTCACAGACAAAAAAAGACTGAAGGAATTTATCTCCACCAAACCAGCAATGCAAGAAATGCTAAGGGGTCTACTGTAAAAATAAAGAAATATTAAGTGAAGAAGGAACACAGGGGTATAGATTAAAAATGGCATCAAATGAGTACCTATCATTAATAACTTTAAATGTAAATGGTTTAAATGCTCCAATAAAAAGACATAGGGTAACAGATTGGATAAGAAAACAAGACCCATACATCTGTTGTCTACAAGAAACCCACCTCAGAAAAAAAGATGCACACAGACTGAGGGTGAAGGGATGGAAAAAAGTTTTCCAGGCAAATGGAAATGAAAAAAAAGCTGGGGTAGCAATACTTATATCTGACAAATTAGATCTCAGATTGAAGGACATAATAAGAGATAATGAAGGCCACTTCATAATTCTAAAGGGAACAATCCAACAAGAAGAAATTACCCTGGTAAATATATATGCACCCAATACAGGAGCAACCAAATACATAAAAAAACTGCTGGAGGACATTAAGGGAGAGATTCATAGCAATACAATCATAGTAGGAGATTTTAATACCCCTCTGTCACCCTTTGACAAATCATCTAAACAAAAAATCAGCAAAGAAATATCAATCCTAAATGACTCACTAGACCAGATGGAATTAATTGACATCTTCAGAACACTCCACCCCCAAAGCCGCAGAATATACATTCTTCTCAAGTGCACATGGGACATTCTCAAAGATAGACCACATTTTGGGACATAGGCAAAGTCTCTTCAAATTTAAGAAGATAGAAATCGTATCAAGTATCTTCTCAGACCATAATGGCATAAAACTGGAAATTAACTACAATAAAAATAATCCAAAGAAATCAAACACATGGAGATTAAACAGCATGCTATTAAACAAGGACTGGGTTACCAGAGAAATCAAGGAAGAAATTAAAAACATCCTGGCAACAAATGACAATGAAAACACAACAATCCAAAATCTATGGGACACAGCAAAAGCAGTTTTGAGAGGGAAGTTCATATCCTTACAAGCCTATTGCAAAAAACTAGAAAAAAGGGTAACAGATGATCTAACTCTACAACTCAAAGAATTAGAAAAGGAGCAACAAGAAAAGCCCAGTGTAAGCAGAAGGAAGGAAATAACAAAAATCAGAGCACAGATAAACGACATAGAGACCAAAAAAACAATACATAAGATCAACAAAACCAAGAGCTGGTTTTTTGAAAGAATAAACAAGATAGATGAACCTCTAGCCAGGCTAACCAAGAAACAAAGAGAGAGGACCCAAATAAACAAAATCAGAAATGAAAGAGGTGAAATAACAACAGACCCCACCGAAATACAACAGATTGTTACAAAATACTATGAACAACTCTATTCCAACAAACTGAACAACCTGGACGAAATGGACATATTCCTAGAAAAATACAACCTTCCAAAACTCAATCAGGAAGAATCTAAAAATCTTAATAGACCAGTGACGTGGGAAGAAATTGAAACAGTCATCAAAAAGCTTCCAGCAAACAAAAGCCCAGGGCCTGATGGCTTCACAGGAGAGTTTTACCAAACATTCAAGGAAGAACTAAAACCTTTCCTCCTCAGACTATTCCAAAAAATCCAAGAGGAAGGAACACTTCCAAACTCCTTCTATGAAGCCAGCATCACCCTAATACCAAAACCAGATAAAGACAACTCAATGAAAGAGAATTACAGGCCAATATCCCTCATGAACATAGATGCCAAAATCCTCAACAAAATTCTAGCAAATAGACTCCAGATGAACATCACAAAGATCATACACCATGACCAAGTAGGATTTATTCCAGGAATGCAAGGATGGTACAATATCCGCAAATCAATAAACGTGATACATCACATAAACAAACTGAAAGATAAAAATCATATAGTCATATCAATTGATGCAGAAAAAGCATTTGATAAAATCCAACACCCTTTCCTGATAAAAACTCTTAACAAGGTGGGAGTACAAGGATCATACCTCAACATAATAAAAGCTATATATGATAAACCCACAGCCAACATTATACTCAATGGGCAAAAACTAAAACCATTCCCTCTAAGAACAGGAACAAGACAGGGATGCCCACTCTCGCCACTCCTGTTTGACATAGTACTGGAAGTACTAGCCATTGCAATTAGACAAGAGGAGGAAATAAAAGGCATCCAAATTGGAAAAGAAGAAGTAAAGTTATCCTTATTTGCAGATGACATGATACTGTACATAAAAAACCCAAAAGACTCCATTAAAAAACTAATTGACTTAATAAATGAATTTGGCAATGTAGCAGGATACAAAATTAATGCCAAGAAATCCACGGCATTTCTATACACCAACAGCGAAACTATAGAAATAGAGATTAAAAAAGCAATTCCATTTACCATCGCACCAAAAAAATTAAGGTACCTAGGAATAAATTTAACTAAGGAAGTAAAGGACCTATATGCAGAAAACTACATGATACTGAAAAAAGAGATAGAGGAAGATGTAAAGAGATGGAAGAATATACCATGTTCATGGATCGGTAGAATCAACATCATCAAAATGTCCATACTTCCTAAAGCAATCTATAGGTTCAATGCACTCCCCATTAAAATACCAACGGCATATTTCACCGACCTAGAAAGAACTCTCCAAAAGTTCATTTGGAACAATAAAAGACCCCGAATAGCCACAGCAATCCTGAGAAAGAAGGGTAAAGTAGGAGGGATCTCAATACCAGACTTCAAACTGTATTACAAAGCCACTGTTCTCAAAACAGCCTGGTACTGGCACAAGAACAGACATATAGATCAATGGAATAGAATCGAGAACCCAGATATCAACCCAAATCACTATGCTCAATTAATATTTGACAAAGGAGGCACGAATATACAATGGAGTCAAGACAGTTTCTTCAATAAATGGTGTTGGGAAAATTGGGTAGACACATGCAAAAGAATGAAACTAGATCACCAACTTACACCATACACAAAAATAAACTCAAAATGGATACAGGACTTAAACATCAGACGGGAAACCATAAAAATACTAGAAGCATCCGCAGGCAGCAAAATCTCAGACGTATGCCAAAAGAACTTCTTCACTGATACTGCCCCTAGGGCAATGGAAGCTAAAGAGAAAATAAACAAATGGGACTACATCAAAATAAAAAGTTTTTTTACAGCAAAAGAAACCATCAACAAAACAACAAGAAAGCCCACGGTATGGGAGAATATATTTGCAAATAATACCACAGATAAAGGTTTAATCTCCAACATCTACAGACAGCTGATACAACTAAATAAAAGGAAGATGAATGATCCAATTAAAAAATGGGCAATGGACCTAAATAGAATATTTACAAAAGAAGACAGAAAGAAGGCCAAAAGGCACATGAAAACATGCTCAAAGTCACTAATTATCCGAGAGATGCAAATCAAAACAACAATGCGGTACCATCTCACACCTGTCAGAATGGCCAACATCAACAAATCAACAAACGACAAGTGTTGGCGAGGTTGCGGAGAAAAAGGAACCCTCGTGCACTGCTGGTGGGAATGCAGACTGGTGCAACCACTGTGGAGAACAGTGTGGAGTTTCCTCAAAAAACTGAGAATGGAACTCCCATTTGACCCAGTAATCCCACTTCTTGGAATATATCCCAAGAAACTAGAAACACCAATCAGAAAGGATATATGCACCCCTATGTTCATAGCAGCACAATCTACAATAGCCAGAATCTGGAAACAGCCGAGGTGCCCGTCAGCTGATGATTGGATCCAAAAACTTTGGTACATCTACACAATGGAATACTATGCTGCCATAAAAAAGAAGGAATTCTCATCATTTGCAGCAACCTGGATGGAATTGGAGAACATCATGCTGAGTGAAATAAGCCAATCAATGAAAGAGAAACACCACATGACCCCACTCATTTGTGGATAATAAAGATCATTATAAACTGATGAACCAAAAGATAGATATAGAGACAGTAAAGCAACAAGCAGATTGTCAAATTACAACGGGGAGGGGAGGAGGGTCTGGGGGAGACAATAAATCAACCCAAGGACTTGTATACCTGCATATAAGTACAACCAATGGACATAAAACTCTGGGGAGGGAGGGGATACATGGGAGGGAAGGAGGGGGGCAAAAAAAAAATCAATAAAATATGTAAAATAAAAAAAAAAAAATAAAAAAAAAAATAAAAAAAAAAAAAGCTTAATGTACACATTAGGCACAGTAAGAGATTAACAATAACTAAGAATAAAACAGAACTATAACAATAGACTATCATAGAAGTTACGTGATTGTATGGTCCCGCTCTCAAAACATCTTAACATCTTATTTTATTCCGTTCCAATGAACCTGGGCTTCAGTTTTAATAATGAAAGAAAATGCCACGGTCCAGACTTGTGCATAGTGCCTGGCATTCAGTAGTGGGAATCAGTACATTTTCTCCAGAGCGAACTGATCTAAAATTTCACTTAATAACATTTGTATTAGATGAGCATCTCTCACGTGGCTCTTGGAATTCTCGCTCGGATGCCCCGCGCTCACTCCTCCTCCCCTAAGAGTTCAAAGGCCAAAGTAAAACCGCCCCGCCTTTTCTCCAGTTTAAATGCCTCCAAGTACCCGGATGAAAGCGGGTTGTAAGATTGACAGCGCCTTCGCCCAATAGCGTTGTAGGGGGGCTTACCAGTTCCACAGACTCACCAATCAGCTCGCGGGGAGTCGCTGTCTCCAGGGTGATGAAGAAGGAAACTAGGGCCTCGAGCGCCGCCATGGAGTCGCTCTCGCAGCAGCTGGAACGCTTCTCCGAGGTGCTGGCCGCCTCCCGTACCCCCCACGTCCGCAGCTGGAGCCCCGCGACCGTGCGCCGGGCCCTGCAGTGGGCCCGCTACATGCGCCACGTCTACAGGCGCTTCGGCCATCACGCCGGCATCCGCCTGGCCCTGGACCGGCGGCTGCGGGACCAGTGGAGGCGGGAGGACGGCGCTGCGCCCGCCACCTACTCGGGGCTGACGAGCTTCCGGGCTTTGGGGCGCTGCGACCTCCTGCTGGCTCAGCGCCTCCTGGGGAACCGGGCCCTCGGGGATGCCGCCTTTCGCTGCCTGCTGGGGCAGCTCTGCCCCGGGCCCGGCGCCCGGGACGCCGAGGAGGAAACGCTCAAAGACCGCCTGGCCCTGCTCGCCCGCCGCCGGGCCGCCGTGCACCTGCTGCGCGCGGGCGGTTTGGGGGAGAGCCCGGCCGCCCACGAGGACCCCCTCACTCAGACTCAGGCCGAGCTGCTACTGCAGCGCCTGCGGGAGGTGGGCCAGGCCGCCGCCGAGGGCCCCCGCAGCCTGCTCTGCGGCCTGTGGGAGCGCTTGCCCCAGAACAGCTTCCTGGGGGTGATCGCGGCCGCGCTGTTGCTGCCTTCGTCGCCCCCTGAGCCCCCCCAAAAGGAGTTGGAACTGGACAGCCCCAAAACTCCGGGCGAGGGGCGTCACGAGCTGGTTCAGTGGCTTCTGGGGAAGTCGGACACCATGGCTGCTTTTTGCCACAGCCTCCCAGCCGGGCTTTTAGCGTCGGTGGTGGGTCTCCATCCAGAGCTCTTCCCGGCCTACCTAGCCCTGCTGACGGACTGGGGTCGACAGTTGAGCTACGATCTTCAGAAGGGCATTTGGGTGGGAGCTGAGGCCCGAGATGAGCCCTGGGAGGAGTTGTTGAGCAGGTTTCAAAGCCTCTGCCAAGCCCCTTCGCCTCTGAAAGATGAAGTCCTGCGTGCCCTGGAGACTTGCAAGGCTCAGGATGGAGGTTTCGAAGTCCCTGGCCTTAGCATCTGGACAGATCTGTTGTTGGCTCTTGGGAGTGGTGTGTGATGCTGCATTTGGGAAAAGACATGTTCTACCTCTCGGCCCAAGCCCAGTTCTCTGTGGGCAACATTTTCTGTTGATTACTTAAATATATGGTTTACATAATTAAAATTTCAGTGCTGCCACCAAATCTGTACTTTCACGTGTCCAAAATACATTTTAGGTACTAATTTATAATAGGTGTAATTATAATACCTGAAGATTGGTTTGTGGATAGAGGAGATGACGTTGGAGATACCCTATTTAAAGCAATGCAATTAACAATTGCTTGCTGTTTTAGAAGGACCATTTCTAAGAATACTGAAAAGAAACTAGTACTTTGGCCTGGCCTGTGGCTCAGTTGGTTGAAGGCCGTTAGGTGTACCAAAAGGTTGCAGGTTCCCTTCCAGATCAGGGCACATATTTAAGCTACAGGTTTGCTCTCTGACAATATAGGAGGCATCCATGTTTCTCCCCCTCTCAACAAAAGGCATTTAAAACAAAACATATTCTCAGGTAAGAATAGAAAAACAAACGTAGTTTTCAAAGAAAAAACAGTTTTTGAACTCACCAGTACTGAAGAATTTTCTTTAGTCAACGTGTTGTCAGATATGGTAACTCACATCAATCTAATTTCTGTCCTCATTACTCCTATGAAATAACTCTTGTCAAGGTCACACTTAATTCATGATGCCAAATGGAAAGGAACATTTTTCTTCTATCAAACTATTAGACTTCTGCAACTTGAGACATTTTGATCCCTCCCTTTTAGTGAAACCTTGCTTGATATTCTATTCTCAAAACTACTTTATCCTGGTTTCCTCTTATGTTTCTAGCTACTTTTTCCTCAATTTGATTTTCTTCCTAACTTCCTTAATCAACCTTTCCTGGGATTTCTCAGAATTTAATAGTCTGGTTCCCATGTGTTCTCATCCATTTAAATACTACCTATGTGCACAATTTATATCTCCAGCCCAAAGTTCTCATCAGAGCTTCATGACCAATACCCCATATAAATGTCTCAACCAAACATATCTAAAACAGAAATCTATACCCCCACTTATAAGCCTGCTTATTCTCAGATGTTTCTCAATAAATAGAAACTGGGAATTATCTTAAAATATTTCCTCTTCTCTAACCCTCACATTGCTCCCATCAATATTTTTCCTTATCTCTATTTTTGCTCATCCCCCTAATGTAGGCTAGGATGACCATAAATTTTATTCTCTAAAGTTTCCTGGTTTGACTAATAATTTATATGGTCATTCATCCATCATATCTCTGCCAGAGATCTCTGCAGTTAACTGGTTTCTATACTGCATCTCTACAATCTGTTTCCATCTAACAGCTCAAGTAGTGGACTTCCACATTCACTAAGAAATTTGAAGTAATTGGAAGAGAACTTAAGCAGACGTCTGTCTACATTAATATACCCATATAATTCACCTTCTGTTTGTTTTTAGTGATAAGGAATTCCATACTAAGCCAATTTCTATAGACTCCAAAATATAGGACTTCTTTCAGTTCTTGGAGTAGGCTGAGCTTTCTTCTGTCCTAGAATATTTACTCCCATTATTCCTTCAGTCAAGAATGTTATCATCCAGGTCCTTCACTGCTCACTTTAATTTCATTTCTCACCATAATGCCTCTATCTAAATATATCGCGCTCTTGTTTTCCTTCAGACCACCCATTTTCCCTTAATTGTATCCCATTTAGTGTTGTTGATGTGTTTCAGTCTTTCCTGTTAGATTATAAACTCAGTGAGGACAAGACTGTGCTGCTTGAACATCCAGTGGCCTCCTCACACTAGAAATGGAGCAAAGGAAATAAAAGGAAGAAGGGTGATTACAGCACCCTCAGAGCTTTAAAAATGCAAGTCATTTTAGTAGTAGATACAAGGAGTATAAATCCATGCAGAAGTAGGGTCCGCAATATATGGTAACATTTCTAAGCTACAAACAATTTGACAAATTTTTCAACACGTCTTTGTTGAATTTGAGTTTGATCAACATTTACCAATGCAAAGATTACTTGCTATGGTTAAACTGCCCAATTTTACTTGATCTTTATAGCTTTTATATATATTTTTTGAGCTCTGAAACAGTATACCAAAGCTCTAAAATAGTAATCAGTTATAAATAGAATGGTCCATATTCCTTAGCAAATTATGGATATAGAGTATTCGTATTAACATAGATTAGTTAATGTAAATACTTCAGGAAGGAATCATTGATTTCTCTCAGGAATTAATTGGAAATGATCAATCACTATATTAGAAGTGTGACAGTAACATCATTTATCAGATGTTTTTCAATAAATTGCCATAGTGGGCTATTACTAATTGCCATAGTGGGCTAAGAATGCCCTTTTGGCTTAGAAATATGGTGGCCCTAAGGGAAAGTAGCTTGAATGATTACAGTAATTAATGTGTATACAACTATCTCTTGAAGCCTCATTACTCTTAATATTGGGATAAAGGTTTGAGTTCAAAAGAACTTTGGTGTTTTAAAGTCTATTGTGATTTATTGTTTTATCTCATGAATGATCAGGATTTAATCTTAAACATTGTATATGTAGAAATTCAGAAGTATAAGCATAAGGATATAAAATGAATAATCAGTTTATATTTTGTATGTACATATATTTTACAAATAGTATACTGTGAATGAAGTCTATGATACTCTCAATATTAGGGATTTATATGAAATTTAGTTTTACTCATTACTATTTAAAATATTTTTATTCTAAAATTTCTAAAAATTGTATGTTAATCATTATAAAGTCTCATTTTATATCTAAAAAAAAAACAAAAAAAAAAAAAAAAAAAAAAAAAAAACAGTGTATGAATCCTATGTTGTTTCCTTTAAGGAGCCTAGAATGGTGAATGTGTGAAATACACGGCACAATACACTTGAAATAGAGAAATAAACACATTTAGCAGCTTTGCAAAGTCTTACACTTCACTGAGATGTATTATTGAACTCTATAACATAGTTGCGAGACAATGTTCCCCAGCTTTTCAGGTTCATATCAGTGTTTAGTTAGTTGTCTGTTAATGTTCACAGTGCTTATACCTGTACAAGAAGGCCTAATGTTAGAAACTACCAGGAAACATCAGTAATTCTGGGGAAATGACAATAAATAGGTAAGAACTCGCATAGAACATGTACAAAACACTTCTCCAACTGAGTTGTTCATGTAGAAAAGGTGTCTTAGATGCAGGAATTCCTTAATTCGAGTTTAGAGAACATTAAACAGTGTATGAATCCTATGTTGTTTCCTTTAAGGAGCCTAGAATGGTGAATGTGTGAAATACACGGCAGAATACACTTGAAATAGAGAAATAAACACATTTAGCAGCTTTGGAAGCCTTACACTTCACTGAGAGGTATCATTGAACTCTAAAACATAGTTGAGAGACAATGTTCCCCAGCTTTTCAGGTTCATATCATTGTTTAGGTAGTTGTCTGTCCATGTTCACAATGCTTATACCTGTACAAGAAGGCCTAATGTTAGAAACTACCAGAACACATCAGTAATTCTGGGAAAATGACAATAAATCGATGAGAACTCGCATAAAACATGTATAAAACACTTCTTCAGCTGAGTTGTTCCTGTAGAAAAAGTATCTTAGATCCAGGAATTCCTTAATTCGAATTTAGAGCACATTAAACAGTGTATGAATCCTATGTTGTTTCCTTTAAGGAGCCTAGAATGGTGAATGTGTGAAATACACGGCAGAATACACTTGAAATAGAGAAATAAACACATTTAGCAGCTTTGGAAAGCCTTACACTTCACTGAGATGTATCATTAAACTCTAAAACATAGTTGAGAAACAATGTTCACTAGCTTTTCAGGTTCCTAACACTGTTTAGGTAGTCGTTTGTCCATGTTCCCAATGTTTGTACCTGGACAAGAAGGCCTAATGTTAGATACTACAAGAAAACATCAGTAATTCTGGGAAAACGACAATAAATAGATGAGAACTCACATAGAACATGTACAAAACACTTCTCCAACTGAGTTGTTCATGTAGAAAAGGTATCTTAGATCCAGGAATTCCTTAATTCGAGTTTAGAGCACATTAAACAGTGTATGAATCCTATGTTGTTTCCTTTAAGGAGCCTAGAATGGTGAATGTGTGAAATACACGGCAGAATACACTTGAAATAAGAAATAAACACATTTAGCAGCTTTGGAAAGCCTTACACTTCACTGAGATGTATCATTAAACTCTAAAACATAGTTGAGAGACAATGTTCCCTAGCTTTTCACGTTCCTAACACTGTTTAGGTAGTCGTTTGTCCATGTTCCCAATGTTTGTACCTGGACAAGAAGGCCTAATGTTAGATACTACAAGAAAACATCAGTAATTCTGGGAAAACGACAATAAATAGATGAGAACTAACATAGAACATGTACAAAACACTTCTCCAACTGAGTTGTTCATGTAGAAAAGGTATCTTAGATCCAGGAATTCCTTAATTCGAGTTTAGAGCACATTAAACAGTGTATGAATCCTATGTTGTTTCCTTTAAGGAGCCTAGAATGGTGAATGTGTGAAATACACGGCAAAATACACTTGAAATAGAGAAATAAACACATTTAGCAGCTTTGGAAAGCCTTACCCTTCACTGAGATGTATCATTGAACTCTATAACATAGTTGAGAGACAATGTTCCCCAGCTTTTTAGGTTCATATCATTGTTTAGGTAGTTTTCTGTCCATGTTCACAATGCTTATACCTGTACAAGAAGGCCTAATGTTAGAAACTACCAGAACACATCAGTAATTCTGGGAAAATAACAATAAATAGATGAGAACTTGCATAAAACATGTATAAAACACTTCTTCAACTGACTTGTTCCTGTAGAAAATGTATCTTAGATCCAGGAATTCCTTAATTCGAGTTTAGAACACATTAAACAGTGTATGAATCCTATGTTGTTTCCTTTAAGGAGCCTAGAATGGTGAATGTGTGAAATACACGGCACAATACACTTGAAATAGAGAAATAAACACA